GGAGAAAGAAAAAGAAAGCGCGCGGGACACGATGGGAAGGGAAAAAGAGAAGCCTTTCCCCCTTCCCATCGTCCCCCTCGCGCTTGCTATTTTTTCTATTATTGCTATTTTTATTGGGATAGCTATCGGGAGCCTCTGCGGAGGAGAGAGAGCCATTATCCGGATTTCCCTCGCTGCTATTTGTCCAAGTGGTCCATGCAATAATTGTTCGCTAATATTCGTACACTCAAACCCCGCTTTACGGACACGCGTTTAGTTGGACACATCATGACTGCGGACTGTTTGCTTTGTCCGTGGGAAAAGAAACCCGTTACATTTTCTCTAAATTCAACCCGCTTAATACGGACACCCCGATTATTCAGAAACATTCCATGGCCCCCTCAGTACAGTGTCCATATTAACCGCGGGGTTTGACAATATTTATTCATGTCACGATGCAGTCATCTCATGCTCGTGGCCTGCTATGAAATACTTAATAACAATCCTACTTTATTACAACTCTAAAACCTTTCAACAAACTGAGCAGTCATCGTTGTCCTGCCTCAAATGCGTCTGTATTGTTTTTGTTCAGTTGTGTTACGTTCTTTCGCTTCTTTGTGACGTAAATAAGAAAAAGCTCGCACTGTGTCACATGCTTCCGTATTGGTCGACCGTTAGCCATTTGTAGAAGTCACGCGATCAGAGTAACTTCGACTCTTCCTGGATGTGTACGTACCGATTCTTTGTATATTATTAAACCCGTCGTCTTCCAGCAGGTTCTTCCGCCGGTGGTGGCTTCTCTTTTTTCCTTGCTGTAGCAGTAGAAGCAGAAGCGGAGGGCAGGCAACAAACGACAAATAGTGAGACGCGAAGCCAAAGATTTCGGCATGTTTTTTGGTATGTGGCTACAGAGTAAGCAAAATCTTTGAGTCTTGTTGTAACTGACGTAGTTAATATTTACTAAGAACCTAAGTACACGTAAAATGCAAGGCAGCGAAAGAGAGGCTACATAATTTAGGACTTTTCTCTTAAGGAAAATGCAATTTCAATTCTGTTTCACCGGTCATTCAGTGAAACCGCAATAATTATGCGAATTTATTCTGCTGTATATATTTATATTGGCCCTGAATGCCTCTGTGACAGTGTTAAGTGAAGGCATCTTTAAATACAATCAAGTTATGCTGGACCACTTTTTCCGACCTTGAACTGAAATAGATTGATTCGTAACCTGCCGGACGTTGAGTCTATTTAAGACCCTTCCCGGCTGTCGAGTCGAGCACTACTGTAGCACAGCGAATTTCGTTAGTACACTTTGAGCTCATGAGACTTACTGCAATGACTGGTGCAACCACACTAAGCAGAAATCCAAGTCTATGATAAGCAGTTTATTGCATAGAGGCAAGACGTTTAAAAAGCTAAAACCGACATGAATTTAGGTCTCTGATAAACTGCCCACCTACCCCTCCCCTAAGCCAACATTTTGTACTAAGTGAGAACCAAGTGTTTATGTTAGCTTTAAAAGGGGAGGGGTAGATGAGGAGTTTCCCAGAAACATAAATTGATCTAACTCGTCTTCACATCAGCTGAATTCCAAAAATAGTGGTTCAGTCAGTTTTGGTATTTTAAATTATTTCCTGTCGTCTGTGGAACAGATGGTAAGACGTAAATGGATTTCCAACTTGAAAAAGTTGGGCCAACCTTTTCAAGTTTTAATTATATGCCTACAAAAATTACCAAAAGAGTTGTTAATTGGCAAGTGCTTCCTGATCAGATGTGTTCGATATCTTCTTTCTAACTGCTCCAAAGGAGCTGCATCAGTTTTGTGTTAGTGGGCTGTGCTGTAGCATGGGGAGGGGCTAGGGCCCCCCCCAATAATTTTGACAGGCAAGTTTAATTTGGTCAGCGGTCACGCTCTTCACACTGCTCTTCGGTTTCGGTTCGATGAAGTGTGAAAATGTCAGATCAATGATTTTGGTCAGTTAAAAATTGCTGGAAATTAATGCTCTCGGAGAGCTGAAAATGCTATTTCAGAGACCCTATATTTCAAAATCTTCCGGGGGAGCAAGTCCCCCGGACCCCCCTCCTTCGGCGCTTGCGATTGGCCCCCCAGGAAATATAACCTTACTACAGCTCTGGAGGGTAAAGGTACTAAGTATTCGGACATCAGCACAGGATTGACCTAAAACAGCTGCAATATCCTCGTGACATAGCCTCTTTAAGAATCAGGAGCTTCAATCTGAATTCAAAGGAAGTGACCATATGCAGATCACTACGGCACAATCTCTGTAATTTCAGCACGGACTGAGAACTTGGGAGAAAGTGTCAAGCTCAACTCTTCTTATGTTCATACTAGGTCAGCGGTTACTCATTTAGTGATCCGAGCAAATGTATTTTAGAGAGACCTTCGCTACGAACCACGTGTGAGATTTTACTCTTCGTGTTAACCGGGATTAAGGCTGTTTTGTTGGATAATTCTACGCTGTTTTCTGCCGTGGACATTATAGTATTCAGTGTTCTAAATTCCAAGTCGTTGCGCCAGGGCTCACGTGAATCATAATTAACTCAGACCTTTGCTCTTAGCCTAAAACGAGACTCCTGAAAATGAACAACAGCTAACCATTTTTTTATTACCTTTCATTTTAGGTCGACATGCCTCCTTCAGAAAACAACCCCAGGTTTCGCCAGTGGTCAAAGTTATTATTTTTTGCTTTGGCAAATCTCGTATTTAACGCGCTCTTATTTGCAACTGTTCTGACTATTCTAGTACAGATTGACGCTTGGCCTCAATTACCCTTGCTATATTCCCCTCTTATTTTAATCTGTGTGGTATCAGTGGTATGGCCCTTCATTGCATGGATGAGAGTGTACAAAAGCTTGCGAAATACCATGTTGAATTACCGTTTGCATGGTGACAGACATATATGGACTGCTGATTCGACTGGTAAACAGTTTGGGCAGGTAAAGCAGATTTAAAGTGGCAGAGAGATGACAATGGTATTCGTGGGTCTGAAATCAGACTTTCGGGGTTATTGGTTGAGGCAAATTTCTCAGTGTAAAGTATCTGATGCACGGACGTTTAATTCAGTGGTCCTGTTTAAAACAATTCGAAAATGTTTTGGTTAGATGTTTTATTTAGTCACGGTAGTTTTATCAGGTAATGAGCTGGTCAGTTACATAAACCCCGTGTTAAAAAATTTATATATTTACCAGAATTTTGAGTTTAATTCTAGTTGTGAAAAAAATAACTCCTTAACTATATATGTAAACCTAGACATTAACCTGTGATAAAATATTCTAAACTAGGATTATAGTAAGGAATCAAATCAACAAGTTGGTGATAATTTTGGAAGTACCTTACCTGAACTTAGTATATTGAGATCTAAACAAGTCCCTTCCCGTTTTCTTTAAGTTTGTCATTGGTTTCGTTGAGCGTGGGAAACTTTCATTGAAGTTTGGTTTACGTATGTGATAGCCTGAGTATCAGGTAGGCGTTTCTGGGGGAAAAGGGAAAAGATGGAAGCGAAAAAGGGAGAGAGCTGAATTCTAATTAGGAAAAAAAAAACAAATTTGCACGAGCAGCACGCTTTTTGTCTTTGTTTTGCACAACTACAACGCTGTTTTGTAGGACTAAAACTTCAAACTTCCTAGATACACATTATTATACCTGTTGATTGAATTATTTCACATTGGTATGCCTGTAGTGCGGACGGACGGTCGGGCGGGCGGGCGGTCCGTGTACGGTCACGTGTTTACCCAATTTTCTCGGATGGGTAGTTTACCACATTTTTTTACCCATGGTGCTCTGCTATTAAAGAGAGACCGCATTAACGGTTTTTTTTATAAGAAAATGGATGGCCGTTTTGCCGGGCCGAAAAAAAGTGGCCATAATAACGAGGTGACTGTATTACCAAGGTGGTCGTAAGGCGGGGTTCTAACCCATGTGTCATGTAACGCCCGTTTTAAATGACCTATGATCTCAAATTTCTTCGCTGACAACGCGCCAGCGTACAAGATGGCTGCCTATGAGGGCGTTTTTAAAGCAATTGCAAGTTTTTTACCAAGATGATTCAGTTATGGTCTCTCTTGGTCTTTCTAACCATCAACGTCCCAAAATTCTTAAGGTATAAATTTTGATTGGCTAAATGTTTGGAAATGTTTGACTCTGACCAGCAAAAACGTTTGCGTGGGACTTGAGAAATGGAATGCCACTTGAAATGCTTTCATAGCAAAAGTATTACATAAAAATTAAGGTACTGTTACATCATTTGTCGAATTTATGTTTAATTTACATTGCCTGTGCCTTTTTAGCTAAATCTCGGATCAAAAATAAACAAATAAGTTTCGTAGTTAATTATTAATAATCATTTAACTGACATTTGTTTCCCCCCCTCCCCCATCCAGACCATCTGGGGAGTGGTTGCTTTGTTGACTAAACATGCGACAGTTTGTTATTAGGCTAAGTTCATGTATGGGTTGTTGCTCCCGTTTGTGAGGTTTAAGGTCACATCAAGGAAGTTGACGATCTTTTTGTTAGCATCAATTGTGATTTTAAGGCCATTCAATTTGAACATTTGGCTGACTTCTTGTATGTTTGTTTTTCTTTTTTCAATTTCTTTCGGAGTGGTCTTGCAGGTTGCGAGATCATCGTCACGGTACAGGCCAACTTCATTTTTGAATTTTCAGCATTTGGATGGTATCAAGGACACTGCTCCGTCTTAAGAGCCCATGGTGACACCAAACATGTCGTTTGTGTTCTTCTTTGTCCATGGAGAGTTTTGCTGTTAAAGGAGTGACTTTTTCCCGTGGGTTATGATGTGGCGTTCTTGTTGGGTGATGGTGGTGAATCTTGAGGCAAAGTTTTCAGTTATGGATGGGTAAAAGTCGCATACGTCAAAGGTGATAAATGCGTAACGAGAAGCCTTGAGAATCCTACGAACAAACTCCTCAGAAACTACTTTTGGGGAAAATATTTCCGATTTCAAAAAACGCTTGATTGACAGAGGCTACCCACAAACTTCGATAGAAAACCTTCTATCAGATATAAAGTTCACAGAGAGGGAGTCTGCACTCCTGAAACACAACAACAAAGTGGAAAAAGAAAGTATTGCGGCCTGTAATTCGGGACACAGTACCAGCCCTCAGTGTCTACTTTAAAAGAAGTTTTTATGAAAAAATGGAATCTTTTACAAAACCAACCGCTACTTCGCCAAATTTTTAAAGAACCACCTACCATTTCCTACAAGAAAGGAAAATCCCTAACGGACATGCTCGTTAGAGCTAAAACAAGGTTTCACGCCGGTATGGTTGTGCGGCCTGTCACCCCTCGCATTTTCTTACGTTTCCTTCTCTCCCCTCCCCTTCCCCGTTCAGTCCTCTTTTTGTGCCCTCGTCCCTACTTTCTGGACGAACTCACGCGGAAACGCTTGCCACGCAGGCGAGATCATACGAATCAGCACTGTTGCAATGAACGATGATTACTCCTGAAGTCTGAACTCCTTCTCTTCAATCGAATGAATTGAGCCCTCCAAGAAATACATTCTACCCAGAATGCAAGATTTTTATAATTATAGATAGAGAGAGCAATGCCAGAACTAAAACTCGCTGAAAATGCCCGTAGCAACTCTCATAATATTTCTGTTACGCAACAACTTCTTCTTTCGTGAACTTGGGGTACCTGTGGTATTATTTGTTACGTAAACGCGCATCTATGCGACTATTCTAAGCGATAATGAACTCACTCGCGATCGATCAGGAGAAGTATTGACTCGATCTCCTGGATTTGTATTTCGTTGTTCCTCGCAGCCTTGCGGAGAGATTCACCAATGGTCGATTTTATTTCGCGTATTTCGGCGCCATTGGTAATAGAGAGAGAAGCACTGTCAGTGGAAACAGCCGACCGATAACAAGTGAAAACGATCAGAGCGGATTTCGGTATGTACATTGTATGCTGTAGTGTGAACATTAATAACAATACGAAGTTCAAATATCGTAAACTCCTCCCTTTATAGGTCTCTCCAGCTAGCAGGTCTAACTTACAGATCACTTTCTAGTAATTCATCGATGGAGCAGTGATGTGACCTGTACTTTAGACCCAGCAGCCGAAGGCTCATTTTGGGGGATTGCTCTCAAATAAAACTTGCTATCATGATTCGTTCATAATATTTCTTCATTGTGGTTCGCTTTGGCGTCCTAGAATTGACAGTAGTACAAACCAAAAAAAAATAACACCAAAAAAAGAAAATAAAAAAAAAAACGCTAGCTATTCGCTTCACTGCCGCTCCGTTGGAGCATTGCGTGACTCAACAACAACAACAACAACAACAACAACAACAATCGTTTATTGTGCTCATGATACAAAAGTGTAAAGACATTAAAAGGAAATAATTGTGAAAAAAAAGAGCACAGCCACTCAGAAATAGCAAAAGCTGGACTTTGATCCGAGCGGCTGCAAATGAGACCAACCCCCCAGCTGTTGATCCCTTTAGCTTGTGTGTTTGTTTTCACAATAAGGCCCAAAAAGAATTTTCTTTTCGTTAATTATGCGTAAAAATGCACCTGAATAAGTATAAATTGCCTACATTTAAAAGAAGCAGTTCCCTGGAGGACTATCACGTGACGCTGCGAGCAGTCTCTCTTTCATTAGGGACTTTACGATCTGACAATGGCAACGTCCATGAAACCTTTGCTGAAAAATAGACTCCGCATCCTTTCAAACCATTTCGCGCTTATCCCAAGTCGCCCAGTTACTTAAAAGAAGGGAATTTATGTTGGAGCTGAAGAGAGGAGGCCGCACCTAGTTTCAGACAGAGATGGTAGAATTTAACGCCTTGCCGCTCCCGTCTTCAGAAAAGCTTCAAATTTGGTCATTCCACGTCGTAGTCGTGCAGGGACGGCAAAGAAATGTACAGAAAAGCGTGATGCGACTGAAAGTTGTTGTTTTGCTAACTAAACTCATTGCTTTTTCACGTTGCCGTTGCCGTCGCCGTCGTAGTTTTAAATAAATAAATAAATAATTCAAACCACATTTCAAAAAGTTGAAAAGTTAGCGCTATTTGCCAAAGATTTCAGTGTTGCTGAAAGTTTAAATGTTCCTGTCTCTAGTGCGTTGGGTTCAGTTCTATCATCATCCAACCTCGTCCCGCAAAACAACATGAATCCGAAACACCATTTATTTTGGCTGTTTCGGCCAAGCTCGGCAGAAATAGCAATACGTTAGTACTACAACTTCTATTACATTCAAATATATGGTAGATAAACTAGAACAGAGCTGAACGACAGTTCACAAAGAATATAGCCTGCAGCGCAGGCGTTTTGTTTGAGCGCGCAATTTGGTTACTATTTCTACTCTCCCCAATCTTCCACTGTCATAAAATCGAAGATGGCGGCTACAACAAAATTACGAACACGAACAAGGTTTCGCCCACCCAAAATACGCTTGCACTGCAGGCTACAAAGAATACTGTCAGAACAGAGGCCAGAAAAAACCTTCCTGAAAAAACCCTACTAGCTAGGGAAAAAACTCGGCACGACATCTCACATCTGGGTCATGGCTCATGCTCTGAAAAGCCCATCCTACGAAGGATACACGACTGGCAGGTTACTGCCCACTATTACTAAGCATGTATTCCAACAAAGCACGATACATTCGAAATAATCGTTCGAGAACAAACGAAAAATAACTAAAACAAGCTAAAACCCTCGCGCAACTCGATCTGTGACTTAATCTGATCAGAATGCTTTCCCACGTGATAAGCATCCCTTTTATGGCACTCCCTCCTACCCATACTGCACTTCAACTGCTTGGACATACGAAATTTCTCTTCTCGTGTTGAAAATATTTCACTCGTTCGCATATTTTTCAACACTCGAAGAGAAATTTCGTATCTCCGCGCGGCCATGTAGTTTGACGTACGAACGTCAGAAAAATTATATTCTGCCTTATAAATAGTTTTTTCGTTTTAAGCCATTGATGTTTATTACGCTGTCTTTTTTACGTGATGAATAGGTAAAAATTTAAGTGGTTTCACCGTAAAGCTTCCTGGTAAAGCTTTGAACATTTCAATATATGGCGCCAGTTGTGATTTAATATAATTGTTTCATTTTAGAGTGAAATGGCCCTTTCAAGTTCAAAGCAAAACGGCCGTATCTCATCAGATGTAACCATTCGCTTCTTTCAGCCAAATGACAGAGCAGTTTGTCAGAAAATATTCGTAGATGGAGGCAACGAGTGTGCAAGGGATACCTTTTTGCTTTTTCTGACGAGAGTAACATGGTATTTTGCTGTAGGAGTTGTTCCTGCCTCATTCACAGCAATCATATGGTCACCTTGGATTTTAGCAATATATTTTCTGCTTGCGATTTTATTTTTCGTATGCCCCATCATTTACTGGTTTAGCGATTACAAAAGCTGGCAGAAATCCCGGTTAAGTACAAAGTTTAGTTTGTCTGACGGAGGGCAAATTTGGGTTGCAGAGTTAAATAGTAAAGTTGTGGGGATGGTGAGACTCACTCCTATGCCGGATCCAGGAGTTTCTGAATTACAGATGTTGTATGTCGTTCCGCACTGTAGAAAAATAGGGATCGGTAAAAAACTGCTTACTGAACTTACTGCATATGCAAAGAGGAAAGAAATGGAAAAGATTATGTTAGAAACGTCAAGCCCAAGGACTTCTGCAATCAGATTCTATGAAAAGCATGGTTTTAAGATTGTCGCCAGTCAGAAAATATTGGGTGGTTTAATATCGGTGTATACCTTTCAAATGGAGATCTAACATAAATGTTTAGAAGTACAGTAACCTGAACCAGGAGCCGATCAAACCAATAAAAAAAAGCCTTCTGTGAAAGGTTTGAAGCTATGAGTCATTTCCGGAGTAGGTTGAGCATGCATGATCGTCTGGGTGAACGTAGTCCTTAATAGGACTGTTGCTGACAGCCACTGACGTTTCCACGTTTTCCATCTTGAGAGTCAAAATGAGTTGTATAGCGTCAGTTAATGGTATTAAACTCTGGTTATTGGCCTGATTGGTCAATTAAGTCGTGATACAACTCACTTTGACTATGAAGATGACTCCCCGGCACAGGTTGTCGAAATGTCAGTCACTGCCAACAACACTTGGGGCGATACTTCCTTATAAGAGGCTAATGGGCATGTGCCGCTGGATGGGGTCGCATTTTCACGACTGGATTGACTATAATGGGGTCGCATTTTCAATAGAGTTACTAGAATAAGGTCGCACATTTTCTGATTCTTGGGGTAAGACAGTTCGTAATTCATATTTACGAATAGCAAACGCACCAGAATGTTTGTACTGTAGCAGGCTCCTGACTGTAGGTGAAAAGTTAAGTGTTATTGGAGACTTTTGTTCTTGGGCCATCGTAGTTTGATCAAAAATAAAACACAAACAGCGGCGATAAACATTTTGAAATCTTAGCATCTGGCAAAAAAGATTATCATTGTAAGATAAAAGAAACGTTGTTCATACAAGACCTTAAGCCAGCTTTTAATGTCAATGTCAGCGGTGAAAAGCTGATGCTTTATTTGCTGTTGCTGCATGCCTTTTGTGTTCATTAAGAATTTTTGAATTCTTAATCTCATTTCCAGACCCCTTGTAATTTTTGAATATATAGTCTCATCCTTTTTTTTAACGGCCAGTTAAGATCAGTTTTGAAAATGCTTGTTGAATAGCATACAAAATAGCCTGCGTAGCATGGCGGTTTTGTCGAGCCGGGTGCACGAGCGGCGAATCCGCGAAATTCGCGCGCGAAGCGCGCGAGGATGACCGGATCAGCAGCCGCGAGAAAAATAAAAACTTGTTATTTAAAAAAGTTAACAGGTTATTGGCGTTTGCGTCTTATGTAAGACGCGAAGGCCATTTATACGAAGTTTTTCTCGTCATAGCTAAGACGCATCTTATCTAAGAACAAGTGCTAAGGGCTGTTCTAAAATAAGACGTGTCTTAGCTAAGCCGCGTCTTATTTTAGACGAAATGCGTTGTTTATATGGAAAGTTCGCGTCTTTTTTGAGACGCGTCCGATGTAAGACGCTTCTAATTTTTCCTCGTATAAATGGCCCTAATGTTTCCGTTCATTTCATGCTTGTGGCCTGCTATGAAATACTTAATAACAATCCTACTTTATTACAACTCTAAAACCTTTCAACAAACTGAGCAGTCATCGTTGTCCTGCCTCAAATGCGTCTTATTGTTTTTGTTCAGTGGTGTTACGTTTTTTCGCTTTGTTTGTGACGTAAGCTCGTACTGTGTCACACTCTGTATTGGTCTACCGTTAGCCATTTATAGAAGTCACGCGATCAGAGTAACTTCGACTCTTCCTGGATGTGTACGTACGGTATATTCTTTGTATATTATTAAACTCGTCGTCTTCCAGCAGGTTCTTCCGCCGGTGGTGGCTTCTTTTTTTTCCTTGCAGTTGCGGTAGAATCAGAAGCGGAGGGCAGGCAACAAACGACAAATAGTGAGACACGAAGCCAAAGATTTCGGTATGTTTTCGGTATGTGGCTACAGAGTAGGCAAAATCTTTGAGTCTTGTTGTAACTGACGTAGTTAAAATTTACTAAGAACCTAAGTACACGTAAAATGCAAGGCAACGAAAGAGAGGCTACATACTTTAGGACTTTTCTCTTGAAGAAAATGCAATTGCAATTCTGTTTCACCGGTCATTCAGTGAAACCGCAATAATTATGCGAATTTATTCTGCTGTATATATATTGGCCCTGAATGCCTCTGTGACAGTGTTAAGTGAAGGCATCTTTAAATACAATCAAGTTATGCTGGACCACTTTTTGCGACCTTGAACTGAAATAGATTGATTCGTAACCTGCCGGACGTTGAGTCTGTTTAAGACCCTTTTTGGCTGTCGAGTCGAGCACTCCATTGCACAGCGAATTTCGTTACAAGAGTACACTTTGAGTTCATGAGACTTGTTGCAGTGACTGGTGCCACCACACTAAGCAGAGATCCAAGTCTATGATAAGCAGTATATTGCATAGAGGCAAGACGTTTAAAAAGCTAAAACCAGCTTCAAAAAGGGAGGGGTAGGTGAGGAGTCTCCCAGAAACATAAATTGATCTAACTTGTCTTCACATCAGCTGAATTCCAAAAATAGTGGTTCAGTCAGTTTTGGTATTTTAAGTTAGTTCCTATCGTCTGTGGAACAGATGGTAAGATGTAAATGGATTGCAACTTGAAAAAGTTGGGCTAACCTTTTCAAGTTTTAATTATATGCCTACAAAAATCACCAAAAGAGTTGTTATTGGTAAGTGCTCCCTGATCAGATGTGTTCGATATCTTCTATCTAACTACTCCTGACCAAAGGAGCTGCATCAGTTTTGTGTTAGTGGGCAGTGCTGTCGCATGGGGAGGGGCTAGGATCCCCCAATAATTTTGACAGGCAAGTTTAATTTGGTCAGCGGTCACGCTCTTCACGCTGCTTTTCGGTTCAATGTGTTGATTTCGATTCGATAAAGCGTGAAAATATCCGATCAATGATTTTGGTCGGTTAAAACTTGCTGGAAATTAATGCTCTCGGAGGGCTGAAAATGCTATTTCAGAGACCCTATATTTCAAAATCTTCCGTGGGAGCAAGACCCTCCGACCCCCCTCCTTCGGCGCTTGCGATTGGGCCCCCAGGAAATATAACCTTACTACAGCTCTGGAGGGTAAAGGCACTAAGTATTCGGACATCAGCACAGGATTGACCTAAAACAGCTGCAATATCCTCGTGACATAGCCTCTTAAAAAATCAGGAGCTTCAATCTGAATTCAAAGGAAGTGACCATATGCAGTCACTACGGCACAATCTCTGTAATCTCTGCACGGACTGAGAACTTGGGAGAAAGTGTCAACGTGAAACTTGTCTTATGTTCATACTAGGTCCGCGGCTACTCATTTAGTGATCCGAGCATTTGGATTTTAGAGAGACCTCCGCTACGAAGCACGTGTGAGATTTTACTCTTCGTGTTTACCGGGATTAAAGCTGTTTTGTTAGATAATTGTACTCTGTTTTCTGCCGTGGACATTATAGTATACAGTGTTCTAAATTCCAAGTCGTTACGCCAGCGCTCACGTGAATCATAATTAACTCTGACCTTTGCTCTTAGCCTAAAACGAGACTCCTGAAAATGAACAACAGCTAACAATTTTTTTATTACCTTTCATCTTAGGTCGACATGCCTCCTTCAGAAAACAACCCCAGGTTTCGCCAGTGGTCAAAGTTATTATTTTTTGCTTTGGCAAATCTCGTATTTAACGCGCTCTTATTTGCAACTGTTCTGACTATTCTAGCACAGAGTGGCGCTTGGCCTCAATTACCCTTGCCGTTATATTCCCATCTTATCTGTCTTATTTTCATCTATGTGGTGTTGCCCTTCGTTGCATGGATGAGAGTGTACAAAAGCTGGCGAAATACCATGTTGAATTATCGTTTGTATGGTGACAGACATGTATGGACTGCTGATTTGACTGGTAAACAGTTTGGGCAGGTAAAGCAGATTTAAAGTGGCAGAGAGATGACAATGGTATTTGTGGGTCTGAAATCAGACTTTCGGGGTTATTGGTTGAGGCTGAATTTCTCAGTGTAAAGTATCTGATGCACGGACGTTTAATCTGTGGTCCTGTTTAAAACAATTCGAAAATGTTTAGGTTAGATGTTTTATTTAGTCACGGTAGTTTTATCAGGTAATGAGCTGGTCAGTTACATAAACGCCGTGTTAAAAAATTTATATATTTACCAGAATTTTGAGTTTAATTCTAGTTGCGAAAAAAATAACTCCTTAACTATATATGTAAACCTAGACATTAACCTGTGATAAAATATTCTAAACTAGGATTATATAAAGGAATCAAATCAACAAGTTGGTGATAATTTGGGAAGTACCTTACCTGAACTTAGTATATTGAGATCTAAACAACTCCCTTCCAGTTTTCTTTTAGTTTGTCATTGGTTTCGTTGAGCGTGGGAAACTTTCATTGAAGTTTGGTTTACGTATGTGATAGCCTGAGTATCAGGCAGGCGTTTCTGGGGGAAAAGGGAAAAGATGGAAGCGAAAAAGGGAGAGAACTGAATTCTAATTAGCAAAAAAAAACCAAATTTGCACGTGGAGCACGCTTTTTGTCTTTCTTTGCCGTTGTTTTGCACAACTACAACGCTGTTTTGTAGGACAAAAACTTCAAACTTCCTAGTTACACATTATTATACCTGTTGATTGAATTATTTCACATTGGTATGCCTGTGGTGCGGACGGACGGTCGGGCGGGCGGGCGGTCCGTGTACGGTCACGTGTTTACCCAATTTTCTCCGATTGGTAGTTTACCACATTTTTTTACCCATGGTGCTCCGCTATTAAAGAGTGACCGCATTAACGGGTTTTTTTATAAGAAAATGGATGGCCGTTTTGCCGGGCCGAAAAAAAGTGGCCATAATAACGAGGTGACCGTATTACCAAGGTGGTCGTAAGGCGGGGTTCTAACCCATGTGTCATGTAACGTCCGCTTTAAATGACCTATGATCTCAAATTTCTTCGCTGACAACGCGCCAGCGTACACGATGGCTGCCTATGAGGGCGTTTTTAAAGCAATTGTAAGTTTTTTACCGAGATGATTCAGTTATGGTCTCTCTTGGTCTTTCTAACCATCAACGTCCCAAAATTCTGAAGGTATAAATTTTGATTGGCTAAATGTTTGGAAATGTTTGACTGTGACCAGCAAAAACGTTTGCGTGGGACTTGAGAAATGGAATGCCACTTGAAATGCTT